TCCTTAGGGGAATGCTGGGTAAGTGTGTAGAACAAGTTGTGGCTGAACAATTTCATTTGTTTTCTTCACTTTCATTTTCTTTTTATTTTGGGTGAAAGATGCTGTTATAATTATTTCAAGCAACACATTTGATAAAGTTTCTCCTCTTCTAACATTCTTGTGGCCAAGGTGGGGATGTGCCCAGTGACTACAGGGCCTATCGGGGGGAGGCATGCCCATGTGAGTGTGCCCGCGGGGTGCGGTAAGCAGAGGACCACCGTTGGCGACTTCTCCTGGCACCAAATGCTGCTGCCGTGCCCCCTGCCCTGTTCTGTTGGCATTGGCATCAGTGAAGTGAATGATAACGTGGAAGACATGCTTACCTCTTAGAAGATGGTATGAAAAGAGAATGGCTTGCAAATACTTTGGATGAAAAACTAAGGGTGGGCCTAAAATGTTTTAAATAGGGTCACAATGGACCTAGACCAGCACAAGGAAGTTCAAGGGGTATATTTTTATGGTCCTACCCTGGGTGCTAAAAGCCAGTGACAGGCTTCTAGCATTGAGTCAGTTTACAAGTAGCTCATTAGTAGTTTGGCATTTTAATTGATGAGATGGAATTAACAGGATGATTATGTGCCCACAAAGGGGTTACTCTTAGACTTCAGGGTTGGAGGTAAAACTAGGGGAGTGGAAGCCCAGCTTCCACATGGGCGTGGGTTTTGCCCCCAGGACGGCCGTGCACACTGTTGGAGAGGGCCTTCGGCTCCCTGGTGTGTGTGCTCAGATGGTGAGAGATTCCAAAGGCCGCCCCAACACTTGGGAGAATCTGAGTTCTTTAACGAGGAGGATAGGTTTGGAGGACGAAGGGAGTGTAACAGTTCTTTATAAATCCCTGACTGGTTGTCCAGTGGAGGGATTCATTGTTCTGCCCTGGAGAGGCGGATCCCGGCTCTGGGCTGCAGACCGGGGCCCTTGGGCACAGTGGGCTGTCTAGAGAGCTGGTGGGTTTCCCGATGCTGGGTCTGCCCCCTCGCATAAGGGGAGCTACTTTGAAGACTATGAAACATCACATAGGCCATGAACTTAGATCTTTAAATTCTTTAAAAGATCTAGGACTTAATGGATATTTTCCCAAGATGAAATGCCCTTTGCCTCTAAGGTCATCATCCGTGCCTTCTTACAGTCATGGATGTGAAACACAGAAAGGTACGTTCCTCGCCTGGGAAAACACACTTGATGCAGCAGGTGAGCGCGGTTGCATTTTTGCATTTTTTTTGTTTAATCGCACCCTGCTGTACATGACTCTGAATTTATATGATCCTGTTTTATATTTGAGAAAAAATGTTTATCAAAGTAGGGTACCCTGGATTGAAATTCAGATCCAGAAAAACTCTTTCTTATATTGACACTGTGACCGACTTGTGGCAGAAGGATGAGCCCTCGTCGGGGGTGCTGTGCAGACCAGGCCAGAAGGGGAGGAAGCAGGACACCTCGCCTCCTGTACTGAATTTTGCCGTCTGTATTTGAGCAAGGTTTTTCAATTTGCTTTTCCTGTCTCGTGGGCGCTTTCTCTCCTTGTTTGGCTTCTGGTTTTGCTTTTTTTTATTCTTCTTGTGATGGTGGCTTTTCCTTTTATTCTGTGCAGTTTCCCCGGTAGGCAGCTTGCCTTCTTACAGCTTCTACTTTCCATGTGGACCTTACGTTCCCATCTCTGTCTCTGCCCTGCCTCTTCCAAGCTGTGTGAACTTGGGGGGACTGCTACCCTCTCTGTGCTTTCATTTCTTTACCTGGAGAGAAAAAAAAACAAAAAAGAAAGCAAGGGGTTGTTAAGATTTATCTCTGGAGGCCATTATGCATATTAAATAGCTTAACTTAAAATGAAAAGTCAAATAAAATCAAGTTATAATTAAAAAATGCAAATGTACAGACACATGCCTTGTCCTTGGCCTCTAGGAGGTTCTGCCTTTTCATCTCCTTACCAATGAATGACATTTTATGAAAATCTTGACACAGACGAAAAACATCTATTACAATGAAAATGCAACCCTTCCTAGCACGACGCCGGCCTGATGCCTGTTGGCCCTCCTGTAGTCCTGCCGCGGGCTGTGCTGTCCGATGCTCCGGATTTGTTCATCGCTGTTGAGGAGGAGAACTCATTTCTTTCTTTCTCCCACTTTGACAATTCAAAGATGGCTCTCGGTTTCCCGCTTACAATTCTGTCCACAGAGAATCAGAAATGCTCCTTGTCCTTGGACGGCCCATATGCGCGGAATTTCTTGCTCTCCCTGACTTTCTGGGGCACCTGTTCCCCGACTAGAGAGCACAGTGTCCTTTTAAACAGCTGTCTTACCGACTTGCCTACATGCTTCATGTATGTGTGCCCGGAGGACATGTGCATCTTCAAGGAAAACATGTTTAAAATTTAATAAAGAAGAAAATGTGGGCTCCCTGGGAATCAATCCCCTCCTCATCAGGGACCTGAGGTGAGGTGAGAGCGCAGGCTCCCTGCTTAGGCTTGGGGGCCGTATTGGGGTAAGGCCGGCCCCGGGGTACCGCTAGCTGGCTTACTGAAGCCGGGCCTGGAAGAGGCTAGAGAAGGAGGAAAAGAATGTGGGGGGCAGAGACAAGATAGTGGGGGGCATGAACACTGAGTGGGACACAGGAAGGACAGAAGAGCAGCATGGCGGGGAAGGGGCGGCGCCTGAGGCACAGGGTGTGCGCGGGGCTGGGGGGCTGGGGCTGGGTGCCTGGGGGGGGGGGGGGGAGGAAGGGAAGACCCAGATCAGGATGTTCATGTGTCTGGGGGTGATGGGGAGAAGGGCCAAGGAAAAGGAGAAAAGTGAAGAAAAAGCTGGTAAGAGGTGATCTCATTTATGTAACACATACATATGTAATAGACACAAAATAAAAGGAGAGCTCTATTAACTGAGTTTTTAGGGATGCCCGTGGTAGGTTGTCAAGTGGAAAATGAATTTAGGAATGTAGGGAGTTGGGGTGGAGAGGGGTGCGGAGGGAGCTTCAAGTCATCAGTGATTTTTCAGCCCTTGATTCTCAGGCATTCACTATGTTAATTTGCTTTATAACATACACATATGTGTGTCTATATGTACATATACATGGATGTGTATGTGTGTTTGTGTACACTCATATTCTCTTGAATACATGAAATAACATATTAATGATGAAAGGAAGACAAGTGGGTTGCCGTGTAACCTACTTCAGTAGAAATGTAATGCCAGCCTCCCAGGAGGTGTGTACATGTGAACGCGTGTAGGTTTGTAGGGGTGAGGAGAAAGGTGCGGAAGCCTGGTAACTTTGAATCCCCACTGGGGGATCTGGGGGTGGAGCACGACCTTGTTCCCTTTCAATGCTCCCATCCCAGTGCCCAATAAAATGCATCCGCAGTAATGCATAAAACAGTGTTAGCCTGGAATTGAGTGGTTTAGTGATGATCTACGAGTCCATTTTGATAGAAATTTAGATTCTGTATTAGATTTCAAGCTCTGTGAGGTCATAAATCACATGGATGTTCATCATTCATTCATTCATGCTACAAACACATATTAAGTGCCTGGAGCAGAGGCTAGGCATTGAATGACATTTTCTTCAGTGTCTAGCCCTGAAGAAAGGTTTTTTTTTTTCAAGTAAAAATATAGGATATTATGAAAGTTCATCACAGAAGGACCTAATCTAGTCTAGTGGGTCAGAAAGCCTTCCTGGAGGAAGCGGCATTTGTGCTGCAAACTGAGGAATACCAAGGAGTTATTTGGGGATGTTGGGGGACGATGCCACAGTCTACACAGCTGGAAGCGTATGTGCAGAGGCCATGAGACAGGGAAGAAGGCACAGGCAATGGGAGGAGGGAGGGCACGAGGATGCGTGGTGGGGATGAGGCGAGAAAGGTGTGTTGAGTCTGGATCATGCAGCCCTGGAGGATGTGATAGAATTTCCTCCAAATTTTTGTTTTGAAAATTTTCGAGCCTACTGAACAGTTGGTACACACATGTATTTTTTTCTTTGCGGAACCAGTGGAGAGTAAGTCACAGACAACACGTCCTGTTTAAAAGAAAATTATCTTCCAGGAACAAAGAGTATCTCTGATACAATCATGCTACTGTTATACACCCAAGAAAGTTCACATTGATACAATGCCTTTGCCTAATATACAGTCCATATGGAAATCTCCATCCCAATACTGTCTAATGCCTTTGCTAACTTAAAGAAACTAAGGTCCAGTCAAGATTCACATATTGTATGTAGATATCCATTGGCATTTTGGGGCAAATTCAGGCCAATGATTTGGAAAATACACCTCAGTATAAATTTGATTATTTCCTCATGATTAAATTCAGTTGGAACATTTGTGGGGTGAATAGCACATAGGTGATGTGAGGACCTGAGAATTACCCAACATTGGGAGCACCTGATGTCAGTTTCCAGATGCTGAGCTCCTCCGTCACTCTGTTAATGTGGTATCCACTGGATATCTCCATTGTAAAGATCAAATTTTCCTTGTGTAAGAAATAACGTCATCTGGGGAATAATACCTTAAGGTTCTGTGAGTATCCTGTTCCCCAATAGTCTTTCACCAGTGTTTTTAGCAAATGTTGATGTCTCTCACCCAAGATAACCATTACTCTGACGATTACAAACTGGTAATTTTTCTAACTGTATAATTTTTCCTGTTAGTTGGTGTTCTTTTCTGAAGAAGAGCCTTCCTTTCTCCTACACCCTTGTCAATCAGCATCAGTATAGACTTGTTGATTTTAAAAGTTTTGAATTTAAGGTTTAATATGTGTTTATAATCCATTTATAACAATCATTTTGCTGTTTCAATTTTCCCGTATTTGGCACGCAGGAAGGAGCCCCTGTATGAAAGGTTTCGGAGAAACATGCAGATTGAGTGAATGAAATAATAATATGAAAGGGATGAATAAATCTGTGATTGCTGTGCTTTTTTCCTCCTGAGAATCTCGATTTTTCAATGTCCAATAATATGATTTTATTTTTCTCTCTAGGTCTCATGGACTAATTGGCTCTCATTCAGCAGGAACCTAACATATAAGCCATCTCTGTATATCAAGACAATGCTTAGTTTTAGAACTGCTCTGAAAATGATTAAAGCAGTATTTCGATGTGACATTGTCAGGGGGCAACAAACAGCTTGAGAATTTTCTATCAATCAAATAGCAGCTTGAAGGGCACCTGTTTCCATTAAATGGTACTGCATGGCAAGCAGCCCCCACTAAAGGGTTGAAAATGAGTGTCCCAGTGGCTCCGAAGAAATCATGTTACACTCAGTTGCGGGACAACAGAAATGGAGCGAAAAATAATAATGAGAGTCTCCTAAGTCTGGGAGATACAAATGCCAATCAGATCTTGTTGGAGGTCAGTTCCTCGCATGATGAGTCTGGGCCATGTGACTTGATAGATGAAATTGGAAATGCAAATTCCAGTGAGCCAGAAAATAGTGCCCATTTCCATGCGGAATTCCACCAACTTCAGGGCTTTGGGAAAGGACCTCAGGCTGGCCCTACCAGCTTGAAAGATTTTAAATTTTCTTTGACTGTTCGTAAAGAAATAAATGAAGAGCACACAGTGGAGAGAGGCACGGATATCCTACAGACCCCTCGGAGTATTCAGGGACCAAGTCTGTCAAGCTGGAGGAATGTCACGGGTGAGGCCGGTCCAGATGTTTTGGTTAAAAAGGATGCTGAAATTCCCCGGCATGTTCCCAAAGATAAATTGGCAAAGACCCTGGACAATGAGGAATTAAGAAGGCATTCCTTGGAAGGAGTAAGCAGTTGTGCTGCTACAGGGGACATGCTCGTGAAAGAGGGTGCTGGGAACCTGACTGGGCAGCTTCCACAGCCTGCACTGCTGGGCGCCCCCAGCACCCCCTACCATGTGCCCAGAGGCTGGGAGGGGCCACAGAAGACAGGGACGGCCCCCTCTCTAGGGGCAGCTTTTCCTCCAGTTGATGGTACCTCAGAGGGAAAGAGTGTGTGTCATCCTAAACCATCTACCTCAGAAACCAAGGAGAACACCCCCTTAGGGACCCAGATGCAGGCGGCACGTGCACCGAGAGTTAGCGATGAGAGCATATTGCATTCTGCCCATCCAGAGCCTGGCCTGAATTCACCTTCAGCATCAAAGGAAGCCCTGAGTAAGCCCGAAGCACAGTTAGGTCCGGGGAAGGGAGAGCCCAGGCTGGAGATGGAGTTAGAGTCAATCCAACCCAAGGCCGTGCAGGACTTAGAGTCACCCCAGGCAGCGTGTCTGGGAAATCCTAAGGAAGACGTACCCCTAGAGAGAAAGGAGCTGTGTGGGGAAGTGCAGCAGGAGGCCACCGCCGGTGCCCTCGGCCGTCTGTCCCGCAGCAGTCTCCTCCACACTGGTGTGGGGAGGGGCAGGGCAGAGCAGGAAAAGAGAGCAGCCAGCCTGGGGGAGGAAGGTGTCCTCCAAATGGCCCCTGGACAGGGTCCTGCTTCCTTGGGAGCTGCAGATAATCAGCCCACTGGCACAGTGTCACCAAGTGCAGCTAGGAAATTGGGTGCAGTGGCATCCAGCAGCAGCTTACCAGGTGGTAGTCATGCACCCCTCATGCCCGATGGTGGAACGGACAGCAGGCCCTCAGGCATCAGTGAGGAGAGAGTGGTGCCAAGCGGCAGGAGCACGGACAGTGCCGCAGGTTTCACTTCTGATCCTTCTGCAGCGGGCAACCCTGGGGCCTCTGAGCTCCCCGACCCTCAGAGCAGCAGCCCTGGGGAAAGCAAAGAGATTGCTACGCCTGTCGCTGAAAATGGGAACCTTCTAGAAAATGCAGCCAGGACTGAAAGCACCCCAGGGAGAGCAGATTGTCTTCCTCTCCACCCAGAGACAACTGTGAATGTGACCCACCAGCCGACACCACCCAGCTGCAGTTTTCAGGACTTCGGTGTGTTGGGTGTAGACTCGGGGTCACCGGCTGTGGCCCCACCTCCCACCGACAGCACGAGGTTGTTGAACACGCCCCCGAAAGTGCCTGACAAGAACATCTGCCCCAGCAGGGTCGTCAACCCTGTCTTCACACGTCCTGAGGACACACCTTCCTCACAAGGGGGGCTGGAGGACCACCAGGTTGATAAGGCAGAAGAAAGGACAGAACCCAGGCCCATCATTATGCCCAAGCCAAAGCACGTGAGGCCGAAGATCATCACCTACATCAGGAGGAGCCCTCAGGCCCTTGGCCAGGTGGACGCTTCGCTGGTGCCAGTGGGGCTTCCCTATGCCCCACCCGCGTGCAACATGCCTCTTCCCAAAGAGGAGAAGGCACGTGGTGACCTGAAGCCGTCTGCCAGCCTCTATGAGAAGTTCAAGCCAGACTTGCAGAAGCCAAGGGTCTTCAGCTCTGGGTTGATGGTGTCTGGAATCAAGCCCCCAGGACACCATTTCAGTCAAATGAGTGAAAAGTTTTTGCAGGAGGTAAGTGAATATCATTATCATATGATATGTAAGTGCACATCCTAAAGTTTCTCCTGTATTTTCAGTATGAATTGCGAAAACAGATCTGTCTTCTCTTAGCAAATTGCAGGTGTTGTTGGATTCACTTGTACAGAAATGGATGTTTTTAACCAGAGACTGTAGGCGAGTGGATATGTTTGACTAGAAGAATTTGACCATATGAGATAGATCTAACATGTAAGGAGATGCATTTACCTTCTCTTTGATATATATGAAGTTAGATAAGTATGCATATAAATTGGCTTCTATATTTAAATGAGTGAGCATAATTCTTCTGTAAGTCAGGTCAATGGATGAAATAATCCAAAATAACTATATTATGCAAATTGGCCAGGCTGCATCCTCTGAGAGAGGGAGTATTTCCCTTATGGGAATGTAGGAAAAATGGAAGTTCCTATGGCCAGGATCCTCACCTGACCCTACTCTACTTGACGATGCAGTTGGCCTACTGCTAGGCTACTGCTTCCACACCCATTGGCAATGAGCTGTTATTGTTGGGGCTACCCTATAAGAGCCCTTCCTAGTACTCTGCCCAGAGGCAGAGGCAGAGATGGGCTTGCTGCATGCAGACTGCCCCAGAGGCAGCCATGATTCCAGCACTCGACCTACTACCGTGAGAACAAAGCTTCGTATAAAGCCTTTTACCCCTAACATTCCACTGTTGTTATTTAGTCTCACCAAATCCAGGGGAACTTCCCCCGGGGCAATTCCCCACAGGCGAGACAGGGAGAACCTCACATTCATGCAGGTGAAGATTATAGTGCATAGGAAATAATGTGTTAGGCATGAATTCTTGGTTTTAAGTAAAATTAGTAATTACAACTAACATTTGGCTGAAGGTCTACTATGTATTGGGCCCCTGTAACACATTATTTATCCTTTTCTAGTCCTCACTAATCCTACAGTAACCCTCTGGAGGTTGGAGCTGCAGTTGCATCATTGTGTAGGTGAAGAAACCTGTGGAGAGGCTTGAGTAACTCCTCTAGGGACCCAGAACAAGGTGCTGAGGTGCTCCCCTGGGTCTCCCAGTTTTGTCACTGCACTGCCTTTTTTGCACCTGGTTGCAGTGACGGAGTCGTCCTCCCAGAGCTGAGAAAGGTTTGTCTTCTGAAGCAGTCTCCTCCGGACAGCTAGAGTGATCAGTTAAAGGAAAGCTGGGTCAGATCACTCCTCTCCCTACCACCTTTCAGGTCTGCCCAGCCCACTCAGAACACAGGCCGGAGCCTATAGGTTAGCTCAGCCTTTAGGATATACCAGTCTGGCTCCAATAACTCCCTGACCTCCTCTCTTCCTTTCCCTCTGCTGCCTTAGGGCCTTTTCACTTCCCTCTGTTTGGAATGTTCTTCTCCCAGATATCTGAATGGCTTTCCCCTTCCCTTTCTGTAGGTCTCTGTTCAGTTGTTACTTCACTGGAGAGGCCACCTTGCCTTCCCTCTGAGGCCCCTTTCCTACTTTATTTCTTCTTGGAACTTACCTCCTCCCGATGTGTATATTTCTTTGCTTTTGCTGCATCAACTAGAATGTAAAGTCCATGAGAACAAACACTTTTTCTGGCTTTGTTCCCTGCTGTGTCCCAGAATTTAGAACAGTGCTTGGCAAAAATTCGTGCTCAAAAAATGTTGAACGATAGCTGAATTATGAACTCATGTATACTGGATCCAAAAAAGAGTTAACTATAGCTCCCAGAGATAGAATAACAGTCCAAATTTGGGCTACAGCTACAGTGAGTGTATGGACATATTTACAGAATGTATTGATCACAGAGGAAGCTGCCAGCTCTGGCTCAGGGAAAGAGGTGGATCTATTCTCAGCAGCAGATCTTGGCCAAGGCTGGCATTAACCAGGTGTCTCAGCAAGCTGACCATCTGTCCTGCCCTGGGGCAGGCCTTCAACAAGGTTGGTTCCTGACTTCTGACTCCAAGCCTGCCCAGAGGCTTGCCAACTCACATCTCTGGAGAGAGGATACTGACTAGAGAATTCAGGGGACCAGTCTCTGGCAGGATCTCCTCTCTCTGTGCAGGGCTGCATTATGCCCACTTTTAAGTGGCCTTTTCACATGGCTGCCTTGCATTCAGACTATATTCTGGTGAGAGGATACTAGAGTCTGGCCCCAGGCAGTAGCACCTTACTAACAATGGACAAATTGCTACTCTGGTTTTATACACTGTATATGAGCTCGATTAATGTGAGCCTCAAATTCCCCCAAATTTATCCACCTAGGCCACTTAGGCTTGGCCCTGGCCCTGCACTCTTTGGTGTCCAGGGATGCTTCTTATGAGCCTTCTGAGAGGTGGCCACCTGGCCCCACAGTGAGCTGTGGGTACCAAAGCTGGTTAAATAAATGAATGAACTTTTTTTTCTCAAAGCTTCATTGAAGAAGTAACCAACTTGTGCAAGATCGAGTCCCTCAGGTCTGGCATGGCCGAGCATGTCTTCATCAAGTACACCCTGGGAGGCAGTGATGCTGAGAACTAGGTGTTGGGCTGGCTTTCCTGCAGCCACCAAGGTGACTTCCTTAGTCACCATGGCAGTGCATGCCTGCGGGGTCTACCTGTGCCTTTTTTACAAGTTGTACCAAAATATCCACATCAGTCCTTTTATTTGTACCATTTCTTCAAACAGAGTAATTTGGCCCCCTCCCCAGCAGACCAAGATCCCCTAGATTTTTGTCTACAAAAATCACATTCACTAGAGAAACTTTATTTGGAAATACAGGCAAAAATCCTGTTACTATCTGCAGTTCTTTCTTTGTGACCGTTCTTAATTTTTCCATTGTATATTTATTTTCTTCATTGCTTTTCTCCCTCTGTAAAATATAATTTCTGTCTTGTATGCACACTTTTCCCCCAAATATTTTCTATTCTTAATCCTCTAGAAGTCTCTCCAAGTCTCAAGAAAATGCAGTAGTGAAGGTGTTTGTGTCGTGTCAGTACTTCTGAGTCACACTGTTGATGTGGGGACAGCAGTGCCACCATGTGCCAGCTGCTCTGTCTGGAGACTGTTTTCTGCCATCATCAGAGCATCTGAGGCCCAGGCCCTTTGCTCAGGCTGCAAGATAGAGCAGAGAAGCCCCAACAGACAGTGCTGCGTGGGGCTAATTTTTGTGGTGATATTTAATCATAAGTGGGGAGTAAGGCTGGCCTTTGGCCTCTGCTCCTGTGGCTGTGACTTGATGTAGCTCACGGGTCCCCCTTTCTGTGTTTAGACTGGGTGCCGGGAGATCCAGAAGCTTCCCCCCCATGCCTGTATGCTTCGAACTCCCCACAAGATGGCTTCAGCCAGTCTCCAGGAAAATAATACATTCCTGATCACTTGGAACAGAAATAATTTTCAGTCATAGAAAATCATGCATCTTTTAATAAAATAGCAAAGTCAACAGTAAAAATACCATACCGGCATTAGACTCTTCTGTCATTATTGGCAGACCGCGCTGGGCAGACAGCACTGGGTAACGATGACTAACGTTTAGCTGGGTGTCCACTGTGCACTGGGCCCTCAAACGGAGAAGTCTGTGCTCTTCTGAGAGAGGGAGTCTCCTCGTTGGTGGGAGCAGCACGCGGAAGATAATCTTGGATCTAGTCATGCCAGGAGGTTAAAATATGCATATTTGTTTATGCTGCTTTCTGCTTTCAGCTCTCCAGCGGTCCCAGGGGCATTCCCTCCTGCTGACGCCTTGGAAAAACCCTTTTAATTTTTGGCATGGGAAGAAAGGGAGCAGGGCTGAGAGAACAGGGATGAGGTATGGTGCTTGCGATATAGAGAAGCGTGATCAGGGCTGGTCTCCCTTCCCACTCCCTGGGACCACCTTCTCTCGGAAGGGTGTTGTGCTTGTCTAGGTTCTCCAGAGAAAGAGAACATACATACAAGTATGTATGTATAGGCATCTACCTATCTATCTGTCCATCCCTCCATCCACCCACCCACCCGCCTACCTACCTACCCACCAATCATCTGTCAAGATTTTAAGGAATTGAATCATGCAATTGTGGTGACTGGCAAGTCCAAAATCTGCAGGGTGGGCTGGTGGGCTAGAGACCTATGGAAGAGTTGATGCTGCAGTTTGAGTCCAAAAGCCATCTGCTGGCAGATTGACCTCATGTTTAAGGGAGATCAGTCTTTTTCTATTAAGGCCTTCAACTGATTAGATGGGGCCCACCCACTATTTGAAGGGTAATCTGCTTTTTTCAAGGTCTGTTGATTTAGATGTTGATCTCATCTAAAGAACACCTTTGCAGAAACATACAGAATAACCTTTGGCCAAAGATCTGAGTATCATGGCCTTGCCAAGATGGCAAAATTAGTCATCACAAGCTTTCTCCCTGTAACAATCCCAGTGGCTTCTCAGTGAAGCCTGTACACTGACCCTTTGTCCCCCAAGCTCACAATACCACTGAAAGCAAGACAGGGCAAATATGAAGAGGGATAATCCAGTACGAACTTACTGTGTGTGCCTTGATTGATTTTTAGGAGTTTGTTAGGAATCACAAGGATTCTTTACTTTGATTTCAAAACTATTTCTTTAAAAATAGTCCATTTGAGAAGGAAGAAAAACCCATTTGGGGTCAGTCTCTATGTGGTTATGACTGTGTGGTGATACCTGTTGCATTCTGTTAATAAAGATGAAAGAAAGTATGAAGCTTTTTGTAGATTCCCTTGTTTTATTAAAAATGCACTGATTAGGTATCCAAGACATACTTTCTCACTTTTTTAAGGGATTTGTTATTTTACCAGACTTAATTACCCAACAAACTGACAGACATTGAAGTTACTGAAATCATTTAGTTTTGAGCGACAGCATGATGGGTTTATGAGCCCTGAAAACTAGCCAGTTTCAAAGAACCGAGTAATTACTGAAATCAGCAAAGTGCAATCCTAAAAACCTGACAGAGATCGATTAGAAATGACAATTTCTTCATGAGAGCACCTGCTAAAAGCAATGAGCAATGACACCAAAAATTTAGAAACTAAAATTAAAGAAAAAAATGGAGACCATATGAGTATAATAGATAAGCCAAAGATTGATAGTAAGACAATAAGTAGAGATGGTAAAAATTTTATCACAGAGTAGATGTGGAGTGTTCTTTCACAGGAATATAATTTGCTGCAGTTTGAATT